AGATTCAGAAAGACATCATCAAAAAATTAAGTTTCATTGTTGTGGTCCTTACAGTCAGTGTAAATTACATTGTGATATTTGTTAGATTGCAGATACTTTATATTTCTTATTAGTTAAAGACATTCCTGCCCCTTTTCTCAACTTTGACATCCTATCTTTACCCTCATTATTTTGTGAAATATGTTGCCATGGTTACTGTTACCACAACACAACCTCATGAATGATACATCAAAGTTGTTTTGGTGATGTAATCAATAGTACTCAGCGACTACATTTTCCATTTGCAGGATCACATGTTTTTAGTCGTACCTATTAAACTAATGAATATCTTATTATAGAGTCAGGTAACTGAGCCTGAGTACTGAAGTAACAAAGGTAACTGAGCCTGAGTACTGAAGTAACAAAAGTAACCGAGCCTGAGTACTGAAGTAACAAAGGTAACTGAGCCTGAGTACTGAAGTAACAAAAGTAACCGAGCCTGAGTACTGAAGTAACAAAGGTAACCGAGCCTGAGTACTGAAGTAACAAAAGTAACCGANCAGTAATGGTGACAGCCTAGCAACATAGATGATGCATTTAATCACTCTCAATATCCTAAATTTATAAAAGGTTAATTTATTGAGAGATTACTGTCAGAGATACACAGCTCTGAAGTAACACATGCTTTTAGACTTGAGCAATCCAGCTGTGGAATCTCACATTTTGTTCTGTTCACAACAAAGGCCCTTGGGAATAATAGCAGTGAGATGAGCAACCTTCTTACTCACATCTGTGAAAGCCTTGGCAAGGTGGTATTTCCCTGTTCTGCCTTCCCCTGTAAGAAAAAGGAAAGAGGTTTGGGTTTAGCTCAACCTGCCAGCCTTGGTCCTGGCCTCACTTTGTCCTGTTCCATCATAGTCGACATACATCCAGGTTCTAATTAAAATGTATTTATCCTGGACACAGTGTACCCTCATCAACTGATCATTACACTTTGACCATATATATATGAGAAAACAAGGTCGCTCTTCTTTACAATTGATTTGCTCATATCAAACATTGACCGGTGCTTATGCATTCAATATTAGAGTCCTTTTTCCTTCTCCCCCTTTTGGTTGGTGTGACTGACACTTCAGCATCTACACAGTCAGGAAGCCAAACAAAGCTATTTTTATGGATGGACCATTATATGAGAGCTGCACGGGGAAATCTGCGAGAAAGCAATCCAGGTGTCATTGGCCCCTGGTAATCTCTTCCGTCTTTAGGAATTCATTTTCTCAGCAGCTTCCCTTGAAAATGACATTCTGACACCATTTACATGGAAATCACTTCTCCTCTTCATTGGTGGTGGCCTGTGTGCAGACAGGACCTCTCTGAGGACTGGACTATTAATGGAAATAAACAAGAAAGAAAGAAAGAAAGAGAGGAAGAAAAAAACAAACAAAGAAAGAGAGATGAAGGAAGGAAGGAAGAATGAATGAAAGGGAGGGAAATAAATTGAAAGAGATTGATAGAGAGAAAGGAAGGAAGAAACAAACAAAGAAAGTGGATAGTAATACCTGGGTTTTTTAAAGGATAAAGTCGAGGTCAGAGCCTTGGGTATTAAGGGATGAAGGGATGGAGACACAGAGGAAAGGAAATATCTATTTCTCTACTTCAACATGTGTATCTCTCTGTCTCTCTTACTCACCTTCTATGTCTCTCTTTCTCTCTCTTTCATACATATACACTCACACACACAAAGATGAAGATCTGTTTCTTTCTGAATTTTCTACCGATTCTTCCTGAAAGAATGAGTGAAATCCAAAAGAAAAGATAAGCACACGCTGAGAGGAATCCATAGGTGGTCATACATATTTTCTCTTTTGTTACCTGCATTTTATTTTGTAACACAGTTACTTCTGAATAATTATTTGAGTAATCAATGAGTTGAAAATGTCTCCTTTAAGACCTGTGTTAATGGAATAAAAACAGCCTTATTTCAGTGCAGTCACAAGAACCACATCTCCCCCAAACTGCATATAAACGTGACTTCCATATGAAAACCATGCATCACAATGATAAAATTCGAATCGAGATACCTATTAGTATTTTTTGTGTGCTCCCTTCAAATGATTTATGAAACTTAAAACTATGTTGTTGAACTGTGAAATCTGGGGGAAAAGGGTTGAAAACACTTTTATTTGAATGGCTTAACACTGCCCCCAGTTGGCATTACTGGAGCACTACTTAATAAAGAGCTCATGCAAAGGTGTAATAGCCCACACTATTCCTTCTGGTGGTACTTTACGAAAGCTGTAGATTTTTATGCAACACAAATCCATATGATATGATCCACCTGCTTTCTTCTTTTAAAATTGTGCTTCTAGAGTTAGCATATATTTATATAAGTATATGTGCAAACACAAGTAAATACCATTTAATTAATGAGAAATGTACATTATTTATAGGGCAACAAGTATGGTGTGACATGAATACACATGTGCTGTATAATGTCAAAATGAAATATTATGATTTTAAATCAATCTTAACACTGGAACATGTTTTTGCTGACAGTGATGTATCTCTGCAAATGTATATTTCAGTTGCTACAGGGTTTCATTCACCTACTTTATAAGATAAGATGTTTTACTGCACCAATACCAGAACATCTGAAAAAGAGACGCAATCAATAACAAGCAATGGAAGAGAGGTCTAACAATTCAAAAAGCAACTCGTCAGCAATGGACCAGGTAAATATCTTCACGAGCCACATTCAGTCAATTAATACAAAGCAATAGTAAGACAAACACACCTGAACAACAGCCCAGCTGTGTTAGAGTGAGAGGTCCAGCAGTGGCTGTCACCTGGAAATGGCAAAGGAACAGGAAATGGGTTTTTTCACAGATGAAGTTTGACATGGCTTCTGAGGGAAAAAACAAAGTGTAACTAAAAGAATGCAATCAAGCATCTTAGACAGCCATGACAGTGTGACAATGAGTCAGACACCGTACCAGGGCCCTCAGTCATCATTCGATTATTACCTGGGCCAAGAAGGATATGTTTCCCCCCTTGTCCATTAACATAAAAACAGCTGCATGGATGCATGGAAGAGCCAGTTTTTTTTGGTGCAGATGTGGATCAGGGGACGTAGCCAGGTTTTTTTTTTTGACAATAGATTTTCATATATTTCTCAGGGACTTATTTGTGGATATAGATGAAATAATTTGACACGATTAAGGAACTGATATCTATATGAGTGTGAAATTTGGTGCAGCTCTATTGAATGGAAGGCTACTGGTGGGCCTTGGCAGGGATATGTGATCTAGTAAGTGCTATTTGAAATAAACTTTATTTTCATAGTGTAGTGAAGCATTGTGAACGCAGCCCAGGTAGTCCAGCAAGACTCCTCCCTAAGCTCCTCCCCCTGCCCAGGTGCAGTATAAAAGGCCTCAGCTGGCTCAGTGGTTACCTGTTGTTCTGCTTTTGTTAGGTTTGCCTTTGTTTGTCTGTTTTGCACTTTGGTCCTGATTTATTAAGTTTGCTTAGTTTAGGTACATTTCTGTTGACTGTTTGTTTTGAGTCTGTATGTTTTGAAATTTTGTTCAATTATCAATTAGGTTGTTGGTTTTGTTAACTTTTTGTTCTCTTTGTTTCAGGAAGTTTCTTTGTTTCTTTCTTTGATTTTCAGTGCGGACTGGGTGTCGTCAAGTGGGGGGGCTAGGCACCGTGGTGAGGGCCTCACTCTTGTTGCGTGCAAGTAGGCACTGGGGAACTTTTAGTGCATGTTTTGCTGTGATTTTTTGTATTGTTGCACCCCAGGCTTGAGGTGAGGCACTTCTCCAATAGTCTGCCTCCCACTGAGGCCCCAGCCCACTGATTTTAGTTTTCTGTTATAGTCATTAGAGCTTTTAGTATGGCTTTAGCCGGCTTACATTTTAGATATTGTATTCTGTTAATAAACTAATTGTTGTTTACTTACCTTATATTTGTCTGAACTTCGTTTTTGTCTCCACCAGCTTCAGTTCTTTTCTTCTCTTTTAGGTCCAATCCTGATTTTTTTGAATTATTTGAATCAATAAACATAGTTGCATTATATAAGTTGCTGTCTCTGCCTCCTCAGTCATGAACCTGTGTCCCTTTAGGTTTCTTTTCATTAAAATATTTTTTTGATTTACATTATATCCAGGGGTGCAAGGCCCCAGGTGGCGCTGTTGGTCCCTAAGTTATTGTTACCTCAGTTATTTTGACCTCTCCCCTTAATTAATTTAAACCACTCCACTCCCTGCCACAAAAGCAAACACAGTTATAATGTGCTTTGAAAATTAAAAATGGGAAATTAAAGGTCAAAATACAACAATATAGTTCAGCTGAACACAATGTTTGCACTTATTCCATTGCATTGGGTCCCAGTGGAGAAGATTAGCAGATTAGATTAGTGATTATCTACTGTTGTGATAAATGGACATTCTCCCATCATTTAAAATATGTTAACTGTAATTGTACCTTTGTAAAAACACGGATACATGAGTGAATGTATGTCACCCCCCACACATATAAATACACTTCCACCGCTCCATGGCTGTTGTGTTGTTAGCATGTTTGCCACGTTAACGTCTCAAGAGTCAACTTTATGAATCCCTCTTGAATTTTCATGATCGAAGAATTTGTGTTTGGCAAATGAAACGTGACTTTACCACATTTAAATTATGATTTTGAGACATTTTGTAGTTTTTTGTGATGTGTTGATTAAAACGCCTCACGTAATTCCGACCTTCCCGAGCGCCAGTAAAGGCACCACTGCAATCAAATGTGGCCCAGCTGCTGAATCGACATGTGGAGAAATCATGACTATCAAATTATTATGATAATAAAAAGTGTCTCTGAAATATTTAACATCACGCGAGTGGCCGAAGAGTCACAGTTAAGACAGTTTGCGGTTTAATGTTAGGTCTGTAATGTGAACGCCTCGTGTAATTCCGACACTGCCGAGCGCCAGTAAAGGCACCAGGGCAGTCCGGCGTGCCATGCGTGGTCGCTGGATTCATAGGTGGGGGGAGCGTGACGTCATCGCGTACAGCGGGACGTCTTGGAGAAGATAAACAAAAAGGAAGGAAGCCTTCGGACACACAATCGCGGCAAAATCGGTTCAAAATTCGAGGTCTCGAGCCGCAGTTAGCAGCTTGATGTTCCCTTTAACCGCGTAGGTCGCTCCCCGCCGGCGCTCACGATCATGGACGACGCGATAATATTCCGAATGAGCGCGTTCTCCGAGCAGGGAGGGAGGAAATACATGGAGGATGTTGTCGAGATAAAAATCGAGTACGAGCCGACGGCGGCGCCAGCGGAGGATCATCCAAAGTCGCAGCGGCAGCCTGATGGAGGACAGCTGGGGGGAGCGGAGGGCGAAGCCGCCGGACACACCGACACCGAGGCGCGGGATGAACGTGACGTCGCCGCCGAATCTGGTCCCGCTTCTGCGATGTGGGTGGAGAGTTTATCCAACGAGGAGAGCGGCGATAACAACAGCGGCGGCGGTAAGGCACCGGAACCGGCCGGGAAAGACGCAGAGCGCGTCGTGGACACGCGCAGGTCCGTGGCGTTCTTCGCCGTGTTCGACGGTCACGGGGGCCGGGAAGCCGCACACTTCGCCCGGGACAATCTGTGGGAGCTGCTGAAGAGGCAGCGCGGCTTCTGGTCGAAGGATCACAGCGAGGTGTGCGCCGCTCTCCGCAAAGGCTTCATCGCATGTCACCACGCCATGTGGAAGGAGCTGCGTAAGTGGAGCGTTCACCTCATGTTTACTGTCAGTGTGGGATCATGATCGTTGCTCAGGTAAAAGGGTGAGTGGGTCAGCTCATGTGAGGACCAGTCCTCTGGAGAATCATCACAGTGAGCACCACACGGTTGGCATGACCCCCAGGCAAACCAGTGATCACCATTAAAACCCAGAGACTACAAGGCTGAACAGCTCACACAACAGTATAGATGTCTGGTCTGTGACCTCTGACCTGAAAATATTGTAAATACCTTTTGCATGACAGGCCTGTGAGTGCAGCTGCAGTAAACCGGTGGACATTCATTCTTAACATTACTGTTAGTGGAAGAATATGTAGTTTATTCACTGCTAATTTAACAGACACATTTATTTCCATTTTAATATGAAACACTCTTCAATGCGTAAACATTCAAAAGTACAGCCAGGGTGCTTGCAAAAGCAATTTCACATTTTTTTTGAATTCAACACTCAATATCATACAATTCAAGATTCAACATCACACAGTTAGAAGAAGCTCATTCCTCAGATAAGGCCCCAGCAGTCCACTTAGCTTAAGTCAAGCTGCACCAAATATCCCACCCTCATAAATGTCTGTCCCCTAAATGTGCCTGATATGTTTCCATCAAGATATGAGTTATTCTCTGGGAAAATGGTGAGAATGTGAAATTTTGCAATGTTAAAGAAAGCGGAAATCAATCCCTGCATCCACATCAAAATGTTATGGGTTCTTCCCTAAACACACCCATGCACCAAGTTTAGTGCCATTCCGTGCAGTAGTTTTTTATGTAATCCTGCGAACTAACAAATAATCAAAAGGTTTAACTAGAATAGCACTTAGTAGAGTGTATACCTCCACCAAGGTCCACAGTCCACTTATGAAACCACATTTAATTTCCCTTGATTCCCTTGGATTTGCACCAAATAACACACACTTAGAATAATCCGTCCCTTTTTTCATCAAGGTATTCTCTGAGAATCTGGATCTTCCCCACCCCTCCGCAAAATTCTATTTAAATAGATTTTTGTTTAATCCTGCTAAATAACAACGTAAGAAATTCAGATGTAAACATAACCTCCTTGGCTCAGGTAATGAACGTTTGGTGTGATCACCCTTTGTGTTTAAAACAACACCAGTTCTTCTTGCTACATTTGCACACAGGTTTATCAAGGTGCTTGGCAGATTGGTTGTTTACAAGCATTTTGAGAACTTCAGGTGTTCAGTTTCCTCTAAATATCATAATTTGCTGTTTATAGCTTCTGAAATGTTGATTACAATCGGATGGTTTTCATAATTGCAAACAAAATCTTTGGGGTTTGTGTAGTTCGTGAGATGAAACAACACATCTGAAGGGATCATATCGGGCTAAGTGCAAAAAAGCATCTAGGAAAATATATAGATATAGGAACGATCAATTAATTGAGAAAAAAAAGGGCAGACTAAGCAACAATGAAAATAATCTTTTGCTTTATTGTCATCGGTCTTTTCATGCAATCCCAGACTGACAGAGATCAGGGCTCTGCGGGGGCCAGACCATCTGCTGCAGGGTGTCCTTGTTCTACTTATTGATGGGGAGATTTTATTTTGTTTTTTACAACCATGGCTTTGTTGATGAAAATGGTTTCACTCAAAAACTGGTGGAAATGTGGGTTGATTGCTGGGAGCACCAAGAATCCTGAACTGAACCAGGTTGAAGAACCAGAGCTAAATTGTTGGAAATTGTATAAATGGTCTCTGGGTTGAATACATCTCTGATGTGCTTGTACGCTGCAGAGCATCTAGCCCCCCTCAGGTCATCACGGACAGGAATCAGTATTTCCACAATCAAAACCAAGTATTGTGGGGCAGCTTTCAGTTTCTCTGCACTTGTGGAACAAGCTCCTTGAAAACCTGAGCTCTGCTTAAATGTATAGTACATTAAAATCAGAGCTTACAACATTATTTGCTGCAGTTTGATAATAATTTACATATGTAAACTCTTTAAAATCTTTAACACATAATTCTTGTTTTTACCTGCGCCAAGGAGGTTTTGTTTTCACCTGTCTGATTCAGATTCACACCAAAATGTAGTGGGTTCTTCCCTGACCCACACCACATCCTTCCACCTAGTTTCATAGTAATCTGTCAAACAAATAAACAGGGGTAAGAAGCAGGTACTAATTTATGGTTCTTAATGTAAAAATACATGTTTTGTGTGTTCAACTGATAATCTGGATCAAGTGAATTTAAATGTGGGGAATGTTGGGCCTTGGCCAAGGTATGTGCTCAACTGAGAGACATTCTAGTAGCTTTTGTTTTTAATAATTTTAATATACAAATATTTCTTGTATTTTAATGCCGAAGGCATGTGTCTGAATGGTGCTATGTAAATAGACTTGCCTCGTCTCAATTTGTGTAGCATGTAAGTGCGACATACTGTAGGTTTAGTCATGTAATTCCTACTTATTTCTATCTGTTGCCATTGACACTTGTTGCCCCCCCCCCCCACCCCGTGACCATATATTTGACATATAAGTAACTCTTTTTAACATATTTTTTTCCCCCCTGTACAGCGGAGTGGCCGAAGACCATCACTGGTCTGCCCAGTACATCGGGCACCACAGCCAGCGTGATCGTGATCCGCGGGGTTCACATGTACGTTGCTCATGTCGGGGACTCAGCGGTAGTGGTTGGAGTGAAAGAGAACGAGTCTGATATCACGCTCCAGGCACTTGAAGTAACACAAGACCACAAACCCGAACTCCCGAAAGAAAAAGAGAGGATTGAACGACTGGGTGGCAGGTGAGTTGGTGAAAGTTTGAATTATACCTTAAGTTCAGGTGCTAAGTAAAGATACCGACTCTGATATCTGGATATTGGCTGATACAGAGTACCGATCTGCTACCAACAACTTGTAGAACATATTAAATGCTACTAACCCAGTATAGAAGTGATGATTGATATTGTTGTATGGCCTGGCTCAGGTTAAACCCCTTTTAAATTGCTGACACTGAGCTAGCTCTTGCTAACACCACATTACCTTCTTCTTTGCTGCTCTAAAAAGGGGCAGAGGCAGTACAGCACAACTGCTGTTTTGCAGCATGAAGAAGTGATTTCTGAGAAAAGAAAATTGTGTGGAACTAATACACTTAAAATACAAAGTACTGGATCAGTACTTAGATTTGGGTACTTGTTGATTAATGGCAGTATTGGAGGCATTCATGATGCTGGTATCGGTATCAGAACAACTCTGGTCACATAACATCACATGGAGTGCAGATATTTTCTTGAACCTCTGTAATATCGCAGTATTTTCTGTCAGGCTTTAAGTAGCTTTTTTGTAATTGTAGTGTAATGAAGAAATCTGGGGTGAACCGTGTCGTGTGGAAGAGGCCTAGACTGACCCATAATGGCCCTGTGAGGAGGAGCACAGTCATCGACCAGATCCCCTTCCTGGCTGTGGCCCGATCCCTTGGTAAAGAAAAATGACCTTTTATTCCTGGGATTAGTTTCCATGAAATGACAATGGATGTTGGAAATCAATATATTTCTGCAATGATTCCTCCAAAAGTGATCTATTGTATTATTTGCTGGTAGGTGATCTCTGGAGCTATGATTTCTACAGCGGGGAGTTTGTGGTGTCGCCAGAGCCTGATACCACTGTAATGACCCTTGACCCCAAGCTGCATCGCTACATCATCCTTGGCAGTGATGGGCTATGGAATATGATGCCACCCAAGAATGCTGTTAATATGTGTTATAGTCATGACAAAATGGTGGTACGTAATGACACTAATACATTTTTTTTGTGCATCGATTATTAGTTTTAGATTTCAAAGGTTATTGCACACCGAGTCCTTACTATTTGTCCCAAATGTGACCTGTTGTAAATTAACATGACTCTGAAATCACATAAATTAGTTTTCTTCGTTTAACACGCAGTCTCAGTGCTGGTAGTGTATCAAACTGGACCACTGACATCCTGAAACAGACTTGGAAGCGATCATGATCATTTTGCAGCTCCTTGATCAGCAGATGAGTTTCTCTTTGTTCCTGCAGCTTCTCAGGATCGGATCGACCCAATGTTCTCTTTTTTTTTGTTCAAGAATCGAGAGGATCACAAAATCATCCTCACTGCTCAACTCTATGAGTTTTCTGAATGATACAATAATAAAACTCATCAGGACTCGGTGTGCAAGGCTTTAGCGTGTGATGATTTTTATTGTTTGTCTGATTTAAAAAATAAAATAAATGCAAAGCAAAAATAGAAAGACAATGTTGAGAGGATATAATGTTTGCAAACATTTTGAGAATATGAATATTTTGTTTGATCTTGAAAGCAATTCGATTTAGATTATCATGTGAAATCAACACAAAGGCATTTTTTAAATTGTATTTCTTCATCTGGTTGTTTCTTAAAGGGGCCAAAGGGAATGTCTTGTGCCCGCCGGCTTGGATGCACAGCGCTACTGTTCTGGAAAGAACGCATGCTCCGTGCAGACAACACAACAGTTATTGTCCTGGCCCTGCAGGAGCATGGTGGACCTCCTATCCCTATGCATCGAGATGAGATCGTTGTTGACATGGCCACTGGAATGGACCATGTTCCATACCCGGGTACTCCTTATAACACATGCGAGGTCCCACAGGTCAGTGCCACAGCTTCGTATTGTTTCATTAGGATTTACCAAATGACAGATATTTTCCAAATGCAGAGTGGGTCACTGCTGGGGTTAAGTACCTCAGGGCTGCTCTGACGATGTACAAAATATTTCTGTGTTTGTTTGTTGTTTGCTATTCACTGTATTGTCCTTTTTATTAATTCAGTCCATTTTTATTGTCATTCTAATACTTTCACAGTTAAAATATGATGGTTCACAGACACCGATGGTCACACAGTTTCCGTCCGAGGACCACTCGTTCACCAAATCACTCTTTTGTTTTCGGGGCCAACAGGCGGAGCATGAGGATGGCATGTTTTATGAAGAAGATGAGATATATGGAGAAGAACATGAGGATTGGACATGCCTGGAGTGGTAGTGAGGTGACTGCTCCGTAACAAAAACAGTATCCGAGGTGTCGGCTACATGACCGGCCAGTGACAACATTTACTCATTAGCTCAGTAGCCAGACCCACTAATGAACCTGGCCGAATCACTTTAGCCATTTGGAAGCAAATCAACGACAACCGCTTACATGCGAGTAATCCAATCCAGTTGGAATCGTTGATATTATTAGGTTAATGGTCTGCAACAGAGCTGAAGATTATCTACTCTTCTAGATGTGTTGTTGACTGTTAACTAAAGTTATTGATGAATGTGACACAACCAGTTTAAAAGCAGTAACGTTATCAAGTTTCATCTCCTTGTGGAAATTAAAAACCAAAGGTTTTTATTGAATCCCAACAGAAAGCCATGATATTAGCACGCACTGCAGCTAATAGCTAACGAGTCTCAGAAATGTCACTGGTTTCTATATATACCAATACTATATCAGTATTACAGAGTGAAACATTGAACGTTACTGATGTCAGCCTATAGATATCTATTCAAATGGCAGTAATTCCTAAGATGTTGTTATTAAAAGCTTATGACAAAGAAATCTGATTTAGGCTTGATATTTTACACTTTGACAACAAACTTAAAGACTAAACTAAATAACAAGAAAATACAAATATAATCCAAATGTATAGAAGAATGTGTCATAATTTTAAGAGAATAAAGTCGTAATTGAAAAGAATCATACTTTAACGAGAATAAAGAAAATTTGCAAGTAAGCAGCCAGGAAAACCCATGCTTCTGGATCACTCAGATTGTTTCTTAAAGAAATGACATGTGGCCTAAAATTATGACTTTCTTTTCATATTTTTTGACATTTATTTCCTAAATTATGACTTAATAATATTATGAGTTATTAATATTAAGTTTTTCTTCTTTATGTATGCATACTGTGGATGTGAATTAATACAAGACGGATCATTTTATTGGTGTTAATACCTTTTCATACAACTGGCCACATCCTCTAATCCACACAATCACTTAAAAACTCAATGTGGTAGCATGTGAACATATCTTAATCCAACATTGTTTTAAACTATTGTTTATTTCCATGAGTTTAGTTCATGAGTCATTTGCAACGGCTTTCATCTGTGTCTCATTTTTACTGTTAGATTGATGAGTGGCAAGTTGTGTCAAAAATAATTTAAATTAATTTCTATGTATGCATAACAATATGTATTTTATTAGGAATGTACTGGCATTATTAGATAATAATAACGAATAATTAGCATTTGAAGACAAAGATTTTGTTTTTTATTATTTCTGCAGAGTGAAGCAGGGAACACTTCCTCCCGTTTCAGAGCGAGTTGCACAGCTCTGGAGCAGGCGTTAGGGCTGTATGAAGCAGCCTTCTGTGCCACCGCGCAGCTCTTACCTGACGTTGACTCTATTGGGGCCACACTGCCCTCGTCGCACGGCTCAGAGGAAGTTTACGAAAAGCAAGACTCGATTACCCAAGTGGACTGTGGCGCATCTGCTCCGCCATTGAAAAGGTCTCGCCGTTCACTGCACACACACCCGGAACTCGCCCGGTCGCCCGACAAACCTTTGCCCCAGAAGACACCTTGTAGCAAAGCACCAAGTGAACAATCCCGTGAAACACACGCTCAGAAAGGGGAAAGAAGCTCCTCGGAGGAACTGGCTCTCCTGTCACAGCACCACAACGCTGCCTTGTGTGTGTGCTGAATCTTGTCTTGTTTCCCCCCCCCCCCCCCCCTAGACTAGAAAGATAATCGGCATCATGTCAACTTTGCTTACGTACCAGTTGTGCTGCAGGCCTGTTCCTAGATGTATACTTTTTTACAGTCTTTTGTTTTTTTTGTAAATATTTGAGAAATTTGAGATTGTAAATGTGTTGATGTTATTCCTCCTTCCCTCTTCTTCCAGCCCCCCTCTTGAAATTTTAGTGTTCAGGACTTTAAGAATTGAAATTTTGGATTTGTTCAATTGACACAATCTATTTTCATACTTATAAGTATGTACAGTATATCCAGAATATGTATTTTGAAAAAGATGGGTCACTACAATCTGACGTAACATCAATTGATCCACCTGAATTGTGACGCATGCGTTCTTCCAGTCAACATTTGTATCATTATTACTAATTAAGCGTTTTACATTGTTTTGACTCGTTGGCTGCTGTAACATGTCACTCTTTATAGGGTTAATACCTCAGACCAGTGGTTTCTTGGAACTTGCCTGCTTCTATTGTTGATGCTTAGTTTTCGTCTCCCCTTGTTCCATAGGTTAAAATGTAGGGTGCAAAGTAAAGGAACAGAATTGACAAAAATGGTCCGGGGAAATTATGCGGGTATTGATTTTATTGATTTTTTAAAAAACATTTTTCTTTTCTTTTCTTTATTAGTGGCTGATTATGCACTGTCACGATCTTACCTGTTACTCGGCTATTGGTGAATTGTATGCATAGTGTGTGAGGAAACGTTAAAGTGTCAGTTCACTTAAAAACAGGAAAAAACAATATACATCACATCTCAATTCAAGAGCTGCATCCTTCCGAGGATGTGGCTCATGAAGGAAGCAGTCTTCGGGGGGCTGGGCCAGCTCGTCCCATCCTTATTGCTGTTGCCTAGCAACAGAGCTGAAGTTTGACACACAGAAAGTTTTAATGCACCTGTGATGCAACCCATCAAATGCAGCCCCTGAATTGAAACACAGCTATCCTCTCACTTACCAGAGTGGCATCCGACCACGTGTAGATGTGTGTGATTTGAGTGAACTGACCCTGAAAACTTTGTTCTGTCATTTCTTGGCTGGATAGTCATATTGGTCCATTCCAAGCACATCCTCCATTTATCATCCTCATTGGGCCCGTGTAGAAGTACATTTGTTTTAAAAAGGCAGAAATATTTGCTGTATTGGTCTCGGTAAAATCCAGTATTAATATATTACCTGTACCAAAGTGGAAGGTGACTGATGTTATTTGTAAGGTTCATTTTAGGCAATTTAAAAATGTCTTCCACTTTGTTCTCATATGGTTTGCATCTCTAACTAGTGTTTTGGTACATTTAATACAATAAGTGCCCGATTCGTGTTTTAAAGTAAATTACAAAATGGTCAAAGGTCTTACATGTGTTCATATGGCAGCTCAACTACTCGTTAGCTGATGTGTTTGCCTTATTTTTAAAAAGAAGTTTCATTGTTGCCTTAGCACAAATTAGTCAGAGGTGCTTTCACATGAATTTTACAACCCCCCCCTCCCCCCACAAACAGGTGCAAATCTCTCGGATATGTCGATGTACTTGGGGCCTTGACCGTCATCTCTTCACCACCGTCATCTTTACCATTCCTACTGCAGCATACTGAACCCGTTCCACAAGGTTAATGTTTTCCAGTTGTACTACAGAGCAGTTTGTCAATGTTTGTACAGTGAGTCCATATGCAATAGAAGTCTGTACAGTACACTATTATGCAAAGTGATTGGTCGTGAGGAGTCTGGCATGCTCAGATCTGCTCTGTATATTGTGAAAGTGTCCGGAGGTGATGGATGTTCATGAGCATGTGGTGTGTTTTGACAGTTACAATACTTGGGTCTGGCTTCATTTCCACTGGAGCTAGTTGTCAGGTCGAATATATATATATATATATATATATATAATACATACTGTACTTTACATGCTTTGACCAGATATACAGTTTCTGTGTTGTAATAAAGTTCTCATTTTCCAATTGCTACTGTCTTCTCTGCTTTGGTGTCCGCACAAGTATCAGCACGTTTCTGTTCAGTAACCTGTCTTGTAAACTCTATCAGCTTTGTTAAAATAGAGCTTGTGTGCAGTTTGAATGTCAAGGTCATTTGTCACAGTTGTGCACTGGCAGTTACATGATCTACCAGCAGATGGCAGTGATGTGAAGTGATTGAACTTGCCTCTATGATATTTAGTCCTGCAGCTTTTAATCGATCAACTACTGATTTAATAAGTCTTTATCAACAACATGCAGCAGCAGTTTATCTTGATTTCAATGCATGAAATAAAAAGATTAAATTATTGATTTAAGTTCTTAATTTTTACAAACTTTGTAAGTCAGTCATGGCATATTTCCATTGTTTGTTTTGATTTTTATTCAATGAAGCATTCCCGGAAAATAATTTCAATGATAAACACAGGAAACATATATTATATTATGGTCCCTAGCCTCGCAACTGAAGGACGATGACATATTTGAAGAAAACATATCTGACATTACAGCTGCTTGAAGGTTCTTGGCAAGACATCTATTGGTAGAAATTGAATATAAAATAATACTAKTAATGTTTTCACTAGTGTGTTTCATCTAAATTGTATGAATTGTTGTTTTCTTTACCCCCGAATGGATCCTTTATATATAAATTCCTAATCTTTATATCTCGGGCGGGTCCTCTCTACAGAGGCCTCCATGTTTTTTTCAGGAGCCCAAACTGAACAAACTAAACACCTTTTGACTTTTTATGACAAGTGAAGGCTACCACAGGTTTCATGTTTATAAGGGGAGGGTGAGGTGAGGGGTGTTCAGCTGCAAAATGAAACCTCACCACTAGATGTCACTAAATTCTACACACTGCACATTTTAGTGTAAAACACTGCATGTCCTGCTATAACCAGGGGGTGCTATGACTATTATTGAATATTATCATATGGAGCTATTCAGGGCGGGACCTTTGTTGTACATGTGGGTGTGGATACGAAAGTATTTCTCCCACATGTGAAAAAGCAAAAATTCACGCCAATTCTTTTTCCATCCAAAATGGCCAACTTCATGTTTGGTGTGGTGAAGAGTGTCAAGGGCGTCTGGGCATGATACACGTTTGCAGATTTTCAATTCTCAAGGTGAAAGTAAAAGGGGAGTAAAAGGGTAACCTACATGGGAGGGAGAGGTCCTCAAAGTGTAGTGATAAAGATCTTGTGATATGCTTGACAGCTCCAGAACATGTAAATGATCTTCGCTTTAAATAGAGTTAAGTTGTAACCTCTGTCCATTTGTTTGCTTGTGAGCAAGATTACACAAAAGCAACTGACGGGTTATCTCAAAACCTGGTGGAAGGATCCAGGATGGGTCAGGGAACCAATTAAATTTTGTTAAATTTATCTTTTACATCACTGTGTTTTCCCAGGGAATAAATCAAGGATCTTGATTGGGGAAAAATCAGGCATGTGCAGGGAACTGAAATATGAAATTTGGTGCAACTTGAATTTGTTTGAATTTTAGTGGACTGCTTGGTCTTGGCCTAGGTATTTCCTACTGAGCATTATAGCAATTTGAGATGACATGAAGTCAGATGAAGAAGAAGTGATGATTTGCCTGCACACTCATATTTCTCCCATGCATGGGTTATTACACTGTATATAGCCTTTTACATATAACAACAACGGTATGCTTCTGATACTGGATTTATGCAGATTAAAGTATTTGGAGACACAAATGGCTCTTTGTCAATTGTCCGACTTCCTTTAGGTGAGCATAAGAAGCTCTTTAGACACCTGTTGAAATCCCTTGAAGATTTAGAGAAAGGTGTTGTCATCCGATTTTATTTAATCCGAAGCTGGAGCTAATGAGTTTGTGTCCCAATCATCCCCCTGCTTTGTCCTTAAACCTGGTCTCACCTAAATGAAAAACATCCCTAGTCATTTTTCTTCCTTGTGACGTGACGACCCTGTGACATTTACCGTATTTGAAGAACACATTTCTCTTACTCTGTTTTTCTGAAACACGCAGACATCAGATCTATGATCGCAATGTCACGACTTGAATATTTCATTGACTGTCAGCTCAGCATCTGCTGACCTACCTAACATGCGACATTCCCCTCTTACTGCAGACAGTCTGTCAGTGTGGATCAGCCAGCAGAGCGTCACAGTGTCCAGCACCTCTCCCACTGCTCCCCCTCCATGCCTCTCCTGCAGATAAGCACCATCGCAGCGAACTACATGGGACTTTGAGAGCAAAGCAAATGTGACAAATACACATGCACTTCTGAGTCTCCATTTTTTTTTCTGCTGATGGTGTTAAACCTGTTATTTTCTTCATATTCATGACATGTGATGCATTTATTGGAAAGATACTGTATGTAGATGAATGCAATCCCAGCAACAAGGCTCAAGGATCCAGCCTCCTACCTTCTCCACTACAGAATACTCAATTATTTCAGTTTGCACAGACACACACACTTGAATCTCCATGATTTCAGAGGAAATTACTGTACATTGACTCACAATGGTTTCCTACTCTAACCTTAACCATAGTTACCTCTTGTCTAACTGAAACCTTAACTTTAATTGAAACTGAACCTTAAAACATGTCTTCGGCTTATTTCAGGAATTTGTCATGGGGACTTTCTTTTTGTCCCCATATTGAAGACAAGTCCCCATAATGTGTCTGTGTAATTAGATTTAGGTCCCCACAACATGATTAATAACCTGGCCACGCACACACAGCCATATCAACTATCAACTTGTTTTTTGTGAGTGTGGTTGGGCAGATTCATGAGTGATGACAAAGGCTATTTTAGTGGGGTCACAGAACAAATATAAAGGAGACTGGATATTTTCCAGAATTGTTTTTACTAGTAAGTGTTTGGTTGGTGGATGGGCACATGGGGGTGAAAAGCAGGGTAACAAAATTGGGCTGGGTTTGATTAGGAGAGGTATAAGTCTTTAAAGAGGTGCCCATTAGACAAAGGTCAGCAATTGCCTTGGGCCCCGAACTTCCAGGGACCCGATAAAGTTCAGTTCAGTTCATACAGATGAAAATGAACTAGTTCACGTTCATTTTCTCTGTTTTTTATTGGGATTATTTAGATGATGATCATGTGTTTAGTTTTTAATCGATGGTGTCGGATCATGAATCTGTGTCGGTCCGGTCACTTTAACTCTGAGTCCTGTTTGTGTCACCTCTCATGTTGTACTGAGCACACACATTATGTGGGTGACTCATTTGTCATGATGTTTAAATGCAACCTCATAAACTCTGGAATCAAACAGACACTGAGTTACTTCATGTACTGATCACTAGGTCCTGATCACTACTGATGAGTGTTTATTGGTTAAAGGTAGAGCAGGTCAGAGTGGAAGAGGAAACAAACTCCAGCTCGGTACAAACCAACTGCAGCTTCTGCTCTGATCATGAAGCAACTGATCACTGAGCAGCTGTGACCAGAGAAACTCTGTGTTTTCCACTGTTCTTCAAGTAAGTCTCTGACCTGCTGCTTCATGAACGAGCTCTGATCTCACTGTGTGTGTGTGTGTGTGTGTGTGTGTGTGTGTGTGTTGCTCTGAGAGAGTGAGCGGGGCATCTATTTGCATCACACACAAACACATTTTCACTCACTCCTATAATTTCACATGATAGCCTTTATGATGATGATTAAAAAATTGTGAGCATTTTAAGAGAAAGACATGAAAATAAAAACACTCAAGGGAGCAGAAGACAGGGACAAAGAGAAATGGTAATCATTTTTAAAAGTATATTTCTGGAACTCCATAATTGACCTCCTATTTCCATGTGTGTTATCTTCTCACTTAGTTAAAACAAGATATAAGACAGAGGCCTATCATCAACTTACTTATTCAGAGATCCTCTTGAAAACCAAGGTTATAGACAACAGATGTTCCATGTGAATGGACAATACGGTTCATTCTTATTGTACAGAGATCATATTGTTCATGAAAATAAGTTATATATATAAGCCATGTATTTATTTAAGTACACAAGCAGAATAATTTGTATCTATGAAGAGATTCTGCATGTGAATATAGAGTCTGTCAGCGAGGGACAAAAAGTTTGGGGGTGGAAGCCTATTTTTTAATTCATCTGCATTCATAAGCAGGTAGCTGTTATGAGTGAAAGTTTCATCTGGACCTGAAGATTAAGAGACGTTCCACTCTTGAGAGGAACTAGTTGGACATGTTGGTGGTCCTGCTGTGGCTGCCAATGAAACTTGCAGCCATACATGAAATACTTGCATTCACTAATGATTTCACTGCTAATGAAAGCAACAGGATGGATGCAGAGGTTTACAGGAGCAGTCTGTTTCCTCAGATTGCATCGAAAGTCATTGGGTGACATATCATCATTCAGCAGGACAATGATCTTAAACATACGACCAAAGCATTGTCTGCACTGTCAGTGTGTATGATTTATAAAGGGATCATTGCTTTCAGGTGTGTGCGCGCACGGTTTTATAAATCTGAATCTTTTTTTACATATGCCATTTTCAGCATTTGTTCACAATTACCCTTTTAGTATGACTCCTACACAGTTTTATAAATGAGTCCCCTGGCAGCAGACTATCTCCATGAGCTGTACGCATTGGCTTCTTGTTTTTTTTTTATCTTTAGAGTTTAGTTTAATCACTGACAAATTTCAGATATTGTGTAGGCCCATGTGTAAGCCAATCAGGTTTTCTATTGGATCTTTATTTTATATAAAAAAATCGAATTATTTGAGATGAATAAAGATGAATGGAGGGAAACGGATATAAGAGCATGTTAAGGTTTTAAATAGAGATCGGGCTGAGAAAAGAGGAAGGTTATTTTTCATGAGTTACATTGAAGAAATATGAGAAAAAGTCTAATTCTCATTTTGATCAAGTTCAGCTCAGTTATCTTATTAGGGAGAAAGGGGCAAGACAAAAAGAGATCTTATTTTAAATGTTCCTTTCCTCTGGTGGTTGATTGTCTCTATACGTCGGCTGA